TCTCCATCGCGGCGGTGGACGAGGCTCTGGCGGCATCAGCCTTAGAAAGGGAGGGCTTGGGGACGGCCGACTGGACAAGCGGTGGTGGCGTGTTGGTCAACGATGTGCAAGGTGGTGGGGGAGCCATTGAGGGGGCAGGGTACTGGACGGCAAGTGCTAGCAAAAGGGTCGATGGCAAGGTCGTGAGATTGGGATTAGGGGGCGAGGTCGGCACGACCGTGATGGTTGGTGGGCGACGCAAACGGCACAAAGTCGTTGGTCGGGCTGTAGCGGGGGAGATCAGCGACAAGGTCGGACTGGTGCGGCTCGGTGTGCTCCAAGTAGGGTTAGGGGAGGGCGGGAGCAGAGCGACAGGCATGGATGGTGGGCGGCGGGGGAGGCTGGTCGCCGCTTGGTCTGGTGCTGCAGCGAGAGGAAGAAGATGCATAGTGCACGTGTAGACCGTTCGTTTCTCATCCAACGGCTATTGTTCATCACTGAAAAAAATCGGTGCCTAACAAATAGCAAGTCCCTATTAATTATTAGTGATAATTAACCCATTTCATTACTCCCCCATTTCAAATGATAAGATATTTTGGCTTTTCTAGTTATAATGTTTTTATTAGTACCTATATATATAAGTGTATAAAAAACTATGTATCTAAAAAACTCAAAACAAATTTAATTTGAAATGAAGAGAGTACTTACATGTCAGCGTTTATTACTCATGGTCGTTGGTGGTGGTCCGCAAGTGGCAACACATCACAAGAAAGCCCACTCGCTGGCCGCACGTGGGCACCGCATCCCACGACCGACAGTGACCAAGATCGAGCTTTACAACAAGTACATAGCTACATGTCAGCGTTTCATACCCGGTCTAATGCAGTTTTTTCCACATAGAATTTTTGATAACACGGAGAAAAGATAGGTGGGAGAGAGAAAGTGATTGTTGTTTCACGAAATAACCACCTGATGAGCTAAAATTTACGACTACAAGATAATTATTATACCATTGTATAAGTTGTTGTCATATATCTCACAACTTTACTGTTATTCTATGCATAAATTAAGAAAATGCGAGTTACTATGAGACACCTTAAAAGACAATTATTGTATAAGTTGTCTACTAAGTCGTCTTAAAATTACGTGGCACTACATGAGACCTCCTAGGAGACAACATCATGTACTTGCCCTAACCATGTCAATTATTCTCTCTATTCTAAATTATAAGTTATTCTGATTTTCTAGATATATAATTTTATGTATATATAGACATATATATATATATAAATAAATGTTTAGCAAAAGTTATGCATCTAGAGAAGTCAAAACGACTTACAATTTGAAACAAAGACAGTAGTAATGATGGCTGTGGGAGTCAGAGACAACTGTGCCTGAGGATCAGCACATTCACTCGACCTTATATTTTATAAGCCACTAAATATGTTCCCTAGTTTTCTTCGATATACTCCATACCGACATGCAAGCAATCTGATTACCATTTTCAATGTATTTTTTTCCAAATTGTGTTTCTGGTATCTGTGATCCAATAATTTAAGTAGTGAATATAATTTGGAATTGTTTAATTTAGGCCTTGTCGTATGAGTTTCAGTCCTAATGTGTCTCTTCATTGTTTTTAGTTATTCTCTACTACTCCTATACCGATCCTGTTCAAAATCACTGTTGTTGCGCACCATTTAGAAACTTTGCCAAACCTGATCAAGGAAGGTAACATTGACGCTCATATATACATGAATACTTTGGAATGTAACGGAAATGGTGTTAATTATATCTTTCTACCATTTACAAATCAAGTGGTCGAAGTGAATCCAATTTGTTTATCTCAAAGAACGTAAAAAGATAAAGGGGGGCAGAGCAAGACGTGCACGTGCTTCTACTCTGTTAACTTTTTTTTCGGCTCGTGGGTATGGGCATAGACTTGCGCTACCAACGGCCCCATTGCACTGTACGGGCACAAACCTAATTATATTACAACACATGGGTCAACACTACACTCAACATTCTTTATCAGAGACACTGCTAGCCAGAAGAAGTCCTAGGGTGTAAAAAGTAGCCATACACAGGCAAATGAGGGGTTAAATTAGGGTCTCTAAAAATATAAAAAGAAAAATGCATATATAAGAATATACACCACTGGATTACTCCAGAGGCCGCCATCTTAACATCACCGGAAACTTCAGGTGGCATTGGCGCTCTTTCCCAAGCCTCGATCAATTTGTACTCAGGTATACTCCAATAGAGCACCGAAATTTATGGTGAAGTCTTTCCATCTGAGTTTGAATTGAATAAAAACTCAAGTGTATTCAATTTATCATCGAAGCTAGACTTGAGAATTTTGTGAACCAGGCTAAAAAAATACGGAGTACCTAGGATTTTTTAGGTCGAATTTTCGTGTCCAATAACGTTCGGTGCGAAGAAAGCCACACCTGATTTTTTCAATGGAAAACAATTAAAAGAAATAGTTCAGGCCGAGAAAAATTCTCATAGGTTTGTTTCTCACTGCCTAGGTGAAGTGTTCTCCTCCACCACGTCTTGGTCCTGTATGGCTCTGTAATCAATAGATAATTTCATTGGATTATTTGGTGGTGGTCACTTGTTGACGGTTTTTGCAGGATTCACTTTGTTTCTTTGCGAAGCTTTGTTCAATCTTTATTCCTTCAATGTCTTCAAGGGTCACACTTGGTCTTTCTTTGAGGTGAACTCTCCAAAGTCCACATATTTGCACCTGTGAGATTAAGTTCTTGTATACCAGCAAACATTATTAGTCTCACTAGTTACGTTGTCACACAATCATCTAAATTATAGTTACCTCCACAAGGGTACTTGGTTCTTTACATAACAAACCAATAAGCTACTAACATGCATATGCATTAAATTAATTAAGTAAACAATTAGAGTGAAGGAAAAAAACCATTAATGTAAGAAATGAGATTTTTTTTTGAAATAAGATGAACAGAATCTTATGCTTATAATAATCACTTCAATCTGTATATCACAAATAATAAATTGTTGCTATGATGATAATTGCCCTATAACTTACTCACATATTTACTTGATTAATTGAGCAAATAATATAATGTAACTAAAAAATATTAATATGAACAAGTTTAATGTGTTTGTCAATCTATAATAGAAAATTGACATGAGTTCATATTATTTTTCTTATCTAACTCTCTACCTATACAAAAATATCCATTCATGATGAACCTCCTATAGACACGTACTAAAACAACAAATTGAGGTTAAAAATGAATGAACCATATGCATATACTTAGTCGAAGTAAGATTGACCACAAATTGTGTGCCCTCTTTAGGTCACAAACATTAATCAAGCCATAAATTCAGAACAAACTAAAAAAACATCTCTTCACGCAAAAAAGAGAGTAATAAACTGGGTGAAAAAGCAACAAATGAAATTAAATGAGACAAGCTAAACGGGACGACACTTAACACAATTAAGTGTAAACATGTCACGGTGGGAAGTCCACATTCCTTCATCAAGTAGGATACCCTCAAACACATCCATATTTCTCTGATGTTGCCAATAGTTTGGGTTGAAGCTTATAGCCACTTTATGGAGTCTTTTGGCTCTTGCGAGTATGGTTTTCATGAACCAGAATTCACAATCAGTTCCTGTCAAACCTGTGAGCTCTACTTCCCGCAGGTGAGCCATGGAAAACTTACTGTATTTCCAATGATATTGGTGATCGCATAAGAAATCTAATCCTGTAGTTGTTTTATGGTCCTGCAATACAAATACATATAGGTTTATAGCAGATTGGAGAAAGAAATCATATTCTAAAAGGTTGATAAATAAATACTCCATCCTTCCAAATTATAGTTGATTTTGGTTTTATTCCAAGTCAAACTTCTTTAACTTTGATCAAGTTTATAGAACATCACATTAGTTTCATGAGATTCTTCATGGACTATATTTAAATAGTACATTTATTGGAACTTGTAGATGTTAATATATTTTCCTAATAACTTGAGTTAAAGTTAGATAAGTTTGATTTAGAGCAAAATTTAAATGAAATATAATTTAAGAATGGAGAGAGTATGATCGATGCGATTAGGATTAAGTATGTGCTTGCCAGGCTTTTGAAGAAGGGTAAATGTAGGCTGAGGCGTCTAAGATCGTCGAATCGTGTGAGGAGGTTTGCCACGCTAGCTCCATAGCCATGGCGTCCAAGCCAAAGAGAAATATTCATGAACAAAGATGTGATATGTGGAAGGTGTGGTACCCTACTTTTTACGATATCCACGTCGTCCCACCCCTTGAATGGCTTATCAGAGTAGGGAAAAAACATGCAATGAGTTAATGCATAAATTGATTGTTATGAAAAAAATGGATAAACAAATGCAAGTCTAATCTAATTATAAAGAAAACGTAAGTGATGAAGTACAATTCTTTTTAAGAGATGGACTACTGGAGATGTATAAATGAAACAAAGAATCAACTCAGAAATGATATCTCTAAGTTTAATGTTAATTTTATTACATGAAAGTTTCATATATAACGGTATCAACCATATTCCTCATACATAGTATAAAACTCATGTTAGTTTGTTGATGAACTGGCCCATGCAATGGTATCTTATTTGATCCTTTATGAGATATCATTTTGTTCCAAAGTATGGGTCGCTTTAGTTTTGTCATGAGTCAAGGTTCTCTAGGTTTTAACATGTTTTCTAAAAAGGTATTATATGTACAATAATACCAAATAACTGCAATATCAATGCAAATTTCATGGTGAATTTAATGCATTTGACCACACAATGTAGATAGTATATATTAGTGTGCTTTTAATTTCAAACTTGATCAAAACTAGATAAATTTGATTCAAGACAAAACGAAAAACAACATGTATTTTGAAGACGTACCTCAGGACCTGTAAGAGTCACGTCGAGGCACGTGAGAGGGCTACAATGCTTGAGAAGTTGTACGTTAGTGTCAATCTCGGCCTCGGCCTCACCATCGCATCTTGTACGAGGACGATGTTACCTCATACAGATCTTGAGGCTCCGCACGCACGGTAAATCGCCATCAACATCAAGCCATCTAGGCGGGAATCCTCGCGGACAGGATACTTCAAGTTCTTCCAGGCTAGGAGCTGAGATAGTAAGCGGCTGGTGCCAGGGCTGAAGCAAGTGGAAAACTTTTAGGTTAGATGTCCTAAGTTTCAGCGACAGAAATTTGACGTCCTGTATTCGTAGTTCCGAGAGCATGTCGGCTTCGAGCAGCATCTCTTCATCGAAAGCGTCAAGGCAAAGCTTCCTCATGCGCAGCTTCTGCAAACGCGGGCAGCTCGCCGACGACAGGAGGCGGGCCAGAAGGTGAACACTGCCGGCTTCCATCCTGATCCATTCGAGCGAAAGATCCGCGAGTGATGTGAATTCCATGGCAGTGGGGAGCCGGAGCCTTGCGCCGCCTAATGCCAATCGCATGGCTTCCAACCTTACCGGGCTAGCAGGGAGCACATCAAGAAACACAACGGGCTCGTATTCGTCGTGGCCATTTCTCACCCCAGTGAGACTCGTCATCGCGTCCGCTCCATAGATAAAATATGTCCAAAAATATGGCAGACGCATGTTCACGCTGAAAGACTTCACCCCGTGCTGAAAAGCGTACCAGATCCATCCTTGTATGGCATCCACGGACGCCGGCATCAGCCGTTCCAGGTAGCGCTCACCGTCAGGATCCCTGATGCCTCCCACTCCGTTGCGGAAAGCATCCACCGACGCCGGCGGCATGTCATCATGGTACGGGTCATCAGGGTGAGGTGAGTGTGTGGTATACGACATCGCCAGCCTCTCAATGGCGCAGCCGGATTGGGTACGCAGGGCAAGGGCGTCGTTAACGGAGGAGACGTACCGCGTCAGGGCGGCGCGTTCTTCGACGTTGGTGGCTTCCCACACCGACCGAGAGATGAAGCTGAGCGCGGGCACGCACTTCCAGAGTCCGAGCCACCGCCGCGAGAGCGCGCTCGTGCGCACCGCGTCCCTCGCGTCGCCCAACAGCTCTAGGACGTGGAGGAGCACGTCGTCGTCGAGGCCGCTGATACGGTCGACGACGTCACCGGCCGATGAGGTCATTAGCCTTGTTCGTTTCCGGTTTCGCGTCTCCTCCGCCGTCGTCGAATCGTCCATGAGTAACATGGCTCTCGGCTGGCGGCTAGGGCTCGCTCGTTTCCGTAGATGCGGGGAACTAGTCAACTAGATCGATGCACTGCTTTTATCGTAGCGGCGAGGGCCTTGCTGAGGATATCGTTATACGGATACATATATCGTGAGCGCGGCGGCCGTGTTCGTGTCTGAATTGAACTCGATGGTGGATGATAACATTACGGAAGGGCTAGCACCCTGATGTCCAGCCGCAAGACCACGTCGCGTCCTGTCTCCACCTAGCAGAAGCGCGCCCTGTCCTGTTCTGTAACTTTGTAGTTGACAACTTTTTTATTTGAAAATCCGTTTAAGGCCTCAAACAATTAATTTAAAATTGGTTTATGATTATATGTGGGAATCAAAATACAATATAGACACAAGTGAGCGTGAGATGCAGTGGTAGAGGAGGGTACGTACGAGGGGAGGCACGGGTTCAAGTCCCCGTAGCCGTGAAGCGTGATTTTCACGTGAAAAATGCCGCGACTGACGGAGCGGGTGGCTAACCAGTGGGGGCCTCCCCGGATTAAAAAAATCTATTTTTTTGGCCCGGATTCATGAATTTTTGGAAACGGATTTACAAATCATCAGCCGCCCCTACAAACCCGTTTGAGCCGCCCCTACAAATATTTAGTGTAGTAGTGAAAATCGCGTCTGTAAACCACGCAGCGCCATGACAAAACAAGAGCGCATTCGCCTCACCTCGCTTGTAGACGCGCGCCGTGGAGGCATCTGCCGGCCTCAGGCACCCGCACGGTAACCCACGGCGGTGCCCCAGCAGCAGCAGGAGGAGGCTGCGGAAGGTGGGTCACATTGCAACATGTGCAACACCCGATCTACTTTTGAAACATCCAGATGCAACACTTACAACATATGTCTGAAGATAGATGAAATACTTGAAACATGCATCTGAAACACTTGCAAAAACACATGAAAAATACATGAAAACTATTGCAAAAACATACGCAACATCCGAATAAAACACTTGCAACATACGTGCGAAGTATATGCAACATCTAGATAAACACACTTGCAGTTTGAAAAAACAGATGAAACATTGGGAACAGAAGCTTGAAACATATGTGTACAATCATTGCAACATATGCAACATCCCGATCTATTTTTGCAACATCCATATGAAACACTTGCAACATACCTCTGAACAATTAAAACACTTGAAACAGACGCTTACAACATGCGCTTTCAAGTACAACATCTACTTGCTGCTTAGACGAAATGGAGGCTCATCGACACGGAGCTCGACGTCAGAGCGGAGCTCGATGTTGCAGATTGAGTGGAGTGTGGGGATGCCAGCAAGAAGCAGCAGCGCGTCCTCGCCAAGTGGCTATGCGGCTCCAGCGATATGGCGGCCGAGTGCGGTCCCCGCGGCGAGGCGCTACTGCGGTGGAGGCGGCAGCGCTGCTCGCGGCGAGCGCATGCGCTGCCTGCGGGGACCATGGTGAGGTGCCCCTACGGTGGAGGCGGCCGCAGGGCTGCCCGCGGCAAGTGCATGTGCTTCCTGCGGGGACCACGGCGAGGCACCGGTGGAGGCGGCAGTGCTGCCAGCGGGGACCGCGATGAGGTGCCTTTGCTGCGGCGAGCGACCCTTCCACTATGTAAAAAATGTTTTTAGTAACGGTTCGATTTTTTTGTAGGGGCGGCTGGTGATGGAGCCGCCCCTATAGTGGCATGCTCGGGTGCCCAGGCACCAGCCGCCCCTACAAATGGAACAGCAGGGGCGGCTAGTGATACGAGCCGCCCCTATAAATGGGCTCTGATTTGTAGGGGCGGCTCAATCACCAACCGCCCCTGTAGTTTATATTTGTAGGGGCGGCTAGTGATTGAGCCGCCCCTACAAATGCCCCCGTATACATAGCTCCGATTTGTAGGGGCGGCTTAATCACCAGCCGCCCCTACAAATGACCCACATATAAAAAGGTTGCAGAACCTTCTTTCTCCTCGGGTCACTCACTCCAATCCGTGAAAGAAAGGTGGGGAGGCCTTAGGCACTTTTCAAAAATTGCTCTAATAAGGGGGGAAGGTTTTGGTCTCAAATCCTTTGGTGGAGAGGTTGTAGAAGGTAAGAAAATGCTATTCCATATTTTTTTTAAAGTTTTAATGGTTGGTTAGTGAGTAATTAGAGTTTTGTTTTTCTCTCTCTTCTATGGTGCTTAAGCTACTTATGAAGCAAATTAGACCCAAGTTTTAAATGTACTAGGGTAAATTAAGGAGGGGAACAAGATCATACCCTTATTTGGTCCATGTTTCTTGATTTTAGTGAACAATTAGTTAGTTTTATGGATGTTTCATGTGCATGATGATCTAGATCTAGGGTTTGGTTTTTTTATTAATTTCGTTTTTGTAAATTTATGTTTGATGAAATTGGACCAGGGTTTGTATGAAAGATATTGGGTAAAGTATAATTGTTGCTAATTGTTGTCTTTGAAATTGTTTATTGTAATCAATAAATATGTATTTTAATTATTTATGGATAAATGGGCCATTAATTAAGTTTTCTCAACCATGATGTGTTTGTATGCTTCATGTAATTATATTAGATTTGTATTCATATATATCTGAAGTATATACAATTATTCTCAAGTAATTATTACTTTGATTCATTTTTATATATTTCTGAATAAGTAGTCCTTTAATGTTTGTTTTGTAAAAGATGGAGTACAGGAACTCTTGGATGTATGGTTCGTTAAGGTTCAAGGCAGGTTTCCGTGAAGAGGTGGATAAATTTATTGAAGACGTAATGAAGCATGCAACGACATTGAAAGAGAATAAGGATACAATTATTTGCCGCTGTAAAGATTGCAAGAACCGTATGGCATGAAAAGATGTGACTATCATCATTTCACATTTGATTATGCGAGGATTTGTTGAGGACTACACAGTGTGGATTCATCATGGTGAAACGGTTATTGTTAACGACGAGGATGAGGAGAAATACAACGACGAAACTATAGAATCCTTGTCTCAATATTCAGCAGAGCTTGATGCACGAATGGATTTTGAGTTTGGTAATGAACAAGGTGGTGATGCTAGTGGTTGGGATGGTAACGACGAAGGTGGTGCCAATAATAATGGTGGAGCACGTGTCGGGGATGAAGATGATTTAGAGGACATGATTCGAGCCCTTGGACCAGAGATTTTACTAAATAGCCCGAAAGGTCTAGAAAATTTGGAAAGGGTGACAAAAACATCGAAGGAGACTGTGTATGGTGTTAAAAAGGGTTGTTCGACACATTGGACATTGCTATGTTTCGTGCTTCAGCTGCTCATTCTGAAGGCTAAGCACGGCTGGTCAGACTGTAGTTTCAATGATCTATTGCATCTCCTGTCATGGGTGCTGCCACAACCAAACTCAGTTCCCGCTAACACATACCAAGCGAAGAAGGTCATAAGTCCATTGACAATGGGGGTTGAAAAAATACATGCATGCCCCAACCACTGTATACTTTTTTGTGGCGAAACGTTCAAGTCACTGGATAAATGTCTCCGGTGTGGGGCCAGCCGCTACAAGAACAATGACCTTTACGGTGGGGACGAACCCTCCACGGGGAAAAAGAGGAATAAGAAGGGTATAACAAAGGTGGTACAAGAATCTCAGCCCCCAGAGGATACTCCATTAGGCAACGATGCAAAGCAGAGAAGAATTACTGCCCTGGTAATGTGGTACCTGCTAGTGACCGACCACTTGAAGCGTATCTTCCTAAACCCTAAAGAAGCCGCACTCACGATATGGTGGGATGATGAGCGCAAGGTGGATGATGATAAGATTGCACACCCGGCTAATTGTAGTCAGTGGCAAAGGTTTGATGAGAAGCACAAAGAATTCAGCGATGACCCAAGGAATGTACGATTTGGCTTGAGCACCGATGGAATGAATCCCTTCAATGAGAGGATGAGCGACCACAGCACATGGCTAATGATCTTGACCATGTACAACATCCCAACATGGTTGTGTCAGAAGAGAAAGTACCTTCTCCTCACTATTCTTATTTATGGCCCTAAACAACCAGGCATTGATATAGACATGTTCCTCGAGCCCTTGATGCAAGAAATGGAGAGGCTATGGAGGCATGGGGAGCAAATGTATGATGCGTTCCGAAAGGAGGACTTCATATGTAGAGCAATAATATTTGTTACTACCAATGATTACCCCGCGCTGTTTGCTTTGTCTGGACAGATCAAAGGGAAGACGGGATGCTTGGTTTGTTTGGATGGTACTACATGGGTGTACCTGGATGCATCCAAGAAGATAGTTTACCTAAGGAACCGATGCTTCTTAAAGACAAGTCACAAGTACCACAGCAAATTGTTCTTTAGATTTTATGACAACGCCCCGGAGATTGAACCCCCTCCGGAGAGACGTCATAACGGAGAACACGTGTACAGAATGGTGAAAAACATATGCGTCATCTATGGAAAGAAGAATTCGAATGGGACGAACAGAGATAGAAGCACACCTCCTATCGAAGGCGTACCTTTCAAGAAACAATTGATCTTCTTTCAGTATCTGCCTTATTGGCCAGACTTGGAGGTCCCCCATGCCATTGATGCTATGCACGTGTAGAAGAATGTCTTTGAGAGTCTCATTGCTACCTTGATGGACACAGGCAAGTCAAAGGATGGTCTGAAAGCACGGAAAGACATGGTGCAGCTAAACGTGATGCCACAGCTTCACCCGGTACCTGAGGCTAATGGAAAATACACTCTGCCCGTGGCGTGCTTCAACCTAACACCTGACGAGAAGAGAGCTATATGCACTTTCCTGAGGGGGATCAAAGTCCCGACTGGGTTTTCATCAAATGTGAAGAAGCTAGTGTCGATGAAGGACTTGTCAATAACACACTGCAAGGCTCACGATTGCCATGTGATGCTGACAGTGTTTCTACCTATTGCAATCAGGGCTATAAAGTCAGAGTTCTTGAAAATGGTCATCACCCGCATGTACTACTTCTTTTCGAAGATCTCACAGAAGACGATTG